CTCTGGTATATTTCTCTATACAGCTAACACATTAAGAAAACGTTTAGTATTAGCCTTTTCAGATAGTTCTCCTTATATCTCAATCATGACTATCACATCTCTGGTGTGTTAGCAGGGGCGTAGCTACCATTATAAAACGAATCCTGGGATTACACATGATTTTTGTTATGAAAGTTGGGCAAGCCCTCATTACTATCCAAACATAAAGCTTGCAACCTATCGGGCTTACACGGAAAAACTGGCATGCTACACGCCTGGTTAGGCATTACTCCTAACAATTATTGTTAACCACTGATAAAATCTTAAATTTAAGGATAATGAAGAATTGAATTGGATGTATAACATAGACAACAACCTTTCCAAGTATTGTAACTGGATGGAAGGTTATTAAATGTCCCATATAGCTTGCATGGACTTAACGATCTGTAAAGAGGTTTCATGCATGTTTCAGACTTTCAAACTATGTAAACAAAAGTGACTGTTTCCATAAACACAAGAAATCAATGTTGAAAGCAGTGTCCACATGCATGAGTGTTCAATTCTGGCTATATCATAAACAAACACCTGGTGTCATCACTATTTGATAACTATACATGAACAGCATGCTCATGATAAAGTTTGAATTAAACAATAAACCTTTTTCGGAATATCAAAAGGATTTTGTCCTTATTTCTCTTATGAATCTCCATCCGACAGGGAGAATGGTAGGTGTAAATAAATGTGTTTGAAATACTCATAGATTCTTAATGATCATAGAATATGATGCATGCATCCTCACGTTTGACCTCCAAACTTCCTTGGTGATAAAGAATGTAATGAATATTTCCCTGTTTGTTCCAAGACCATCAGACCAATGTTTTCTCACACAAATCTCAGTATCTGGAGATACTTTCCCTGACTGACAGTGAGTAATCAGTACTACCACAGCACTAATCACTGCTGTAATCACCTCCAACCATATTAACATGAAAAGAACTTTTGAGAAAATGATGGTACTTGTCTGAAGAACTTCCTCCAAACATGTCCAAGAGCCTGAATGCCCAGTCAAAGACTGCCAGGAATATTGGTAGCTGCACAAAGACATGTTTTGGTCCCTTGGGGACGGTCATAACATCAAAGCAAAAACAGCTTGTCCAACTTCCCTAATGTCATGGTTTGGACATTTCTTCCAACAGCCATAGCTTCTTGTGACTCAGGATGGCTTCACTAATGAATGCTGGCGTGATTGCTTTGGACAGAAGCTCAGGTTGAAAGGTGTAAGCCGGTTGTTGCATCAATAGCACACGACATTAATGGGGTTCTTTAGCGTTAGAGGATGGAAATTACTGCTGCAGGTGGTAGTTTCTGGACCTTATTTCGGAAGAGTCTCAAGAATGTCCTGTACCGAAGACAGTAAGTAATGAAAGGATGTCAGGAGATGAGGGTGTGCTGTCTAGTTCGGAGTACCGTCTGGTTTTGACAGTTTTGAATGATGGTATTCACTACACTGTTATCACAATCTGGGCTCTCCTTGTCGACAGACGGGACAAACGAAATAAGTAACTGATTGTAAGGAACTTATAAAAATAAAACGAACACTCCTCTATTACATGTGTAGCGTCATTCAGCAATGATTGTTTGAGTTGAACACAAGAAAGAAGTGAGCAAGTTTGTAAGCTTGGTTTCACGCCTTCAACACTATTGGGTCAGCTTGATGGCAAACTAGGATTCAAACTCAGAAACACTGGTTGACACTTCTGCACAGAAGCTACCTGTCCCCTACAAGATAGACAAGGCATTGTCGGAACTGCACATTCTAACAAGCATATCTTCATATGAAAATAATGCAAACTTTTGTGCCTCAAGGGCATTGTATGAAGTCCTGAATTATTAAATAATTTTGCATGCTGGCTGCTTCGTATTACTTCAGTCATGAAATATGCACAGGCTTAGGAAAAATAGATTGCCCCGCTGCCATGTCTGTGGTTGTCCCAGGTCTGGGGTTGTCATCCTATAAAGTTGATAGCCTCCATTACACTGTAGTCAGCACTACAGATACAGTTCAAAGGCAGTCATCACTTGGCAACACCCTCGTCTTCGTTTTAGGAGTGAATTAAAATGTTCTCGTATTCCATTTGTGAGTTTCCTGTCTCACATTTGTAGTTCATCATTTATGTTGACCTCTTGAGTTTGTGATGGCAGTTGGTGTGTATTGTTAGCTTTTTTCCTTTTTTTCAAAAGGATTTGTTCCACTTATTTATGGTATGTGCACATCAAACGTTCAAAACCACATTAACCTACTCACCCATGTTCTGTGATCAGCTAACAGCAAGATTCTGAAATATTTTCCTTTTGCTTATTGCTATTGAAAACTAGCTATTTCTTTGCTATTGAAAACAGATTTCTTACTTTGGGCAAACTATAAACACATGTATAGTATTGTCCATACTTCAATGAAATACAAGATATTGAATGTATTGCTTGAGCACGGGATAAACCCATTAATGGAAATATTCCTTTGATAAAGAGATTCCAGGCTAGAAATGGTCACCAGTCTATGTAGTTCATCACTTGAGATCAAGTGGATGAGGTAGTCACTGACCTGGTTGACCTTTTGTAACCAAATGCTCACAATGTCTATCACTGGTTTGTGTGGTCTGTATACAAGCACCTGTCATATCACTGGTTTGTGTGGTCTGTATACAAGCACCTGTCATATCACTGGTTTGTGTGGTCTGTATACAAGCACCTGTCATATCACTGGTTTGTGTGGTCTGTATACAAGCACCTGTCATATCACTGGTTTGTGTGGTCTGCACCAAGCACCTGTCATATCACTGGTTTGTGTGGTCTGTATACAAGCACCTGTCATATCACTGGTTTGTGTGGTCTGTATACAAGCACCTGTCATATCACTGGTTTGTGTGGTCTGTATACAAGCACCTGTCATATCACTGGTTTGTGTGGTCTGTATACAAGCACCTGTCATATCACTGGTTTGTGTGGTCTGTATACAAGCACCTGTCATATCACTGGTTTGTGTGGTCTGTATACAAGCACCTGTCATATCACTGGTTTGTGTGGTCTGTATACAAGCACCTGTCATATCACTGGTTTGTGTGGTCTGTATACAAGCACCTGTCATATCACTGGTTTGTGTGGTCTGTATACAAGCACCTGTCATATCACTGGTTTGTGTGGTCTGTATACAAGGTCATATCACTGGTTTGTGTGGTCTGTATACAAGCACCTGTCATATCACTGGTTTGTGTGGTCTGTATACAAGCACCTCATATCACTGGTTTGTGTGGTCTGTATACAAGCACCTGTCATCACTGGTTTGTGTGGTCTGTATACAAGCGTCTGTCATATCACTGGTTTGTGTGGTCTGTATACAAGCACCTGTTATATCACTGGACTGCCATTGAGTGACTCATACAACAAACAAAAATAAATTGATTTCTTTTATTATGTTTGCAAAAGGTGAGACATTGGCCTGGGTACTGCAACTGGCAATGGGATACTATTTATGTTGCAATTTGAGCGTGTCAACATTGTGAAAAAATATACTCATCACAAATAAAAATCCGGTCAGCTTGAAAATCAAATTGTTACTCCCTAGTTAAGTTGGATGGACAGAGTTCTCATTTCACTCGTGTCCCCATGAACCTCCATCCTACCCCTAAACTCCTTCAGCAGACCCACCCACCTTGCATGTAGGGATCAGAGGTAACCCTACACGTTCAGGTTCAGGGACAACAAATGCTGTCATTTTCATGCCCCACCGAAGTCATGTCATTGATATACTCCAGCACAATGGCCTTCTTGCAACCTGAGCCAAATTTGACAAAACCTTACCTATTAAACGTTGGCGACATGTAGGCTTAGTTGGCCCAAGGGGAGATAATTCAATACTTAACACTGTTTGATAATGATACATGAATTGACTGTCATGATTGTGTATATTGTTATCACCGGTATGACAGTAAATATTTCATCATTATATACCGGGTGGGTGTGAGTTACGGCCTTTGGGAAAACAAATTAATGGAGGGGTACTGAGAACACTGATGGAAAATTAGATACCAGGCGAGACTGAGAACTAACAGTGTGAGACTATACTTTAAGAAATACAGGTTCACATATCACTGCTCCTTTGGGCATTTAGACCAAATTATGGATGTTTATCCACATACAGTGTAAACATTTTAGAAACGATGAGTCTTTAAGACAGGGTGAGACTATACTTTAAGAAATACAAGTTCACATATCACTGCTCCTTTGGGCATTTAGACCAAATTATGGATGTTTATCCACATACAGTGTAAACATTTTAGAAACGATGAGTCTTTAAGACAGGGTGAGACTATACTTTAAAAAATACAGATTCACATATCACTGCTCCTTTGGGCATTTAGACCGAATAATGGATGTTTATCCACATACAGTGTAAACATTTTAGAAACGATCAGTCTATAAGACAGGGTGTATGTCATAAAGGCGGTATTTAAGTAATGATCCATACTAGCTTTGTTACAATGCTTGTACAACATCATGGCTTTGAACTTGTGTGATGAGAAAACATATTAGTGAGAGCTATCTGGAGCGTACACTGTCTTATATGTAAAACAAAGTTTGTGTTTGTAGGAAATAATAGCTTTGTATGAACTAGCTGCTGCCATAAAACATGATGCAATTTTGATGATGGTGCTGAAGTTCTGTTAATGTTACAGCCATTAACGTCGAACCTGTTGTTTCAGTGCAGTGCGCTCATGCGTTAAAAGATCTGAGGAAGCAATTGACAATATACTGTACCTGTACACTATAGCGAGAACATGGTTTGTTTGTTCGTTTGTTGTTTAAGGCCACAGTCTGTAATATCCTCTCTCTGTGATGGCTGTCTGTAAATAGTCACGGCTGGACCAGACAATCCAGTGACTGACATCATGAGCATCAATTTGGCATATCAATAGTTAGTCTTTGATACAAAATAATCCTAAATTTGTCTTTTATATTTTCAGGATACGTACAGAAAGAAAAGGCGGAGCCTGGTGTCCAACATTAGCCATTACCAAAGATGTTTACGAGTACTTGCAGATTGACCTTGGAAAACTCATGGTCATTACTATGGTGGAAACACAGGGTCGATTTGGAAATGGAAAGGTAAGTCACATATCATTTGCCCATCAACATACACAAGGCATTAGTTGTCATACACTTTACAACTTTCACAGATATGCTAAGATTAATGTCACTGAATTTTGTTCGAGCTATAGATATATGGATGCGTTTCTCTGAGATAGTTCTCCAACTTCAGACTCCATCCAAATGTCTCCTTGGTCTAATGGACCAAAACAACAAACACTTACAAACATAAACTGACACACATACAATGTTGTCATTTTATGTTGCACGCTATCCAAAGATTCTTCTTTGTTCATTCATACAGATTTGTTTCATACTGCCTAACATGGGTACAATGTGTGGGGATGGTAGGGTAGCCTAGTGGTTAAAGCGTTCGCTCGTCACGCCCGAAGACCCAGGTTCGATTCCCCACATGGGTACAATGTGTGAAGCCCATTTCTGGTGTCCCTCATCGTGATTTTGCTGGATTGTTGCTAAAAGCTGCGTAAAACTAGACTCACTCACCCACTCACTACAATGTGTGCCCATTTCTGGTGTCTCTCGTCATGATATTGCTGGAATATTGCTAAAAGCGGTGTAAAACTATACTCAATAACTCACTCACTACAATGTGTGAGGCCCATTTCTGGTGTCCCTCGTCATGATATTGCTGGAATATTGCTAAAAGCGGCGTAAATCTGAACTCATTCACTCAGTTGTTTCATGCTAACTGGCAGATGGTAGAAGGTATAGGACTCCCAAGGGAGTCAGTCCCACCCCAGTGCCACACCTGGTCAATTCCCCGTGCAGTTCTGACAAGCCATAGACTTCAACAACTGGACCTGGATTGATCCTGAGTGCCAAATACACTTCTTGTAGGAAAATAAATATGTGTGCACCATTGCCGTTCTCAATGGCTCATTAATTATAAAGAAGAGATGATTCAAGATTCATCCACCTTACAGGAAAGTTCATTTCTGTGATGGTAACGCAGTTTGAGAAAAACTGATTACGACAAATGAATTTTCTTTTTCTTCATTAATCCTGGTGTATGAGGTGCAGGAGAGGCCACTCTTTGCTTGGCATTGATCTTCCAGAGCCTCATGGGTGACGCTGAGATCAAAGGTTGCTGCTGTTGTAATTAAGGAGGTGAAATCTTGTTGTTTTCTTGGTCTAACTACTCTCAGGAGCAAACTAATAGACATCTCTTGTACCTCGCAAAGCTGGGGCTGTTTCCTTACGATCAGGCCATGTTAGAATTATTGGACTTTTGGTCTTGAGTGTCTAGGTATTGACATTTCTGTCAACTGGCCTAATCCTTTGAAGTGCGGTGATAGTTGATGGAAGGTCAAGTGATGTAGGATTACCTCCCCTTGATGGAACTCTTCTCTGCAGGGAATATGTGGTCATCTCAAGAGATGGAACTGATGCTCTTCCAAAGAACATATGCTTCATCTTGAAATCTAACTTGCTCCTTGGGCATGTTTATTAATGTACAAAGCATCCTTGTCAGAGATGCAGAAGGCCATGACGGACCTCTTCAACTTAACTTGTAAAACAAGTATTAACCTGTAAATCTTGAAGTCAGTATTTTACAACATAAAAACTACGTTTGTGGGGGTATTAAAATGGAGTCGTCCTCCAGATCCGATCGTCCGTGCACATTTGTCTTTTCCCGAGCAGAACTTCAATTTCTTCACCAAACTTGGCACATAGCTAGAACTGGTGCCCTGAATAAAATATTTTTGTGGCAAAAGTTCTTTGAACCGTTCAATATGTCAGTATTTAATTCCTTACAACATAATCATAAAGACATAATTATGAAGAGTATTTTGTAGCGGGGATATTGATGACTTTGTCTTTTTTATTTCAGTGTTTGCTTTTTTTCTCTCAATAGCTTTGCTTTTATTTTGCTGAGATTTAACAAAAGGAAGAGCCATGCTTCTGATCATTATGATTTCAATAAATCTGTCAATCAATATATCTTTCAGTAAATCAAAACAGATGTCTTCCTATGCTGAATATATGTTGCAAAATTACCAAGATCTTTATTGTTACATTTCTTTTAAAGTTGAAGAAAAACTGATGGACAAAAGGAAGGATGGAAATTAACAATGTTCTTATATCGCTCCGAGGTCACGGTAAAGACGTGATCTATTGTTCATAATCACCATAGGAAATAGGTAGCAGCACACAGTCAGGGTAAATCAATGGCACCTACAGAGTTCTCTGCCCTTGCTCTCGTGGACTTACCTTCCCCTCGAATCCGGATCTTCGATCAATTCCACGTCTTCCGTTTTCATCTGTGCAATATTGACCCGAGCCTGTCAGTGTCATTAAGCCCTACCTTAGGCCGATATCGATTCAAGCCAGTAATTGCTTCTCCAATGCAGGCAGACAATGCAGCACCAACGGCTGCCATTCCGATACTTTCAGCGTGCCTGCAAATTGGATCAACTCGGTGTTGAAAATATTTTTGCAAAGATGTCCATAATAATTTCATTCAACAATTTAAAACCTTTGTTTCATTATGGATCATAGTATAATATTTTCCCATTTCAGTATTTGTGTAGTTCATACGTTTGTTTGCTTTTTGTGAAAAGAAAGATGAACACTCTTCATAAGTCATATTACTGCCGTATGAAGATGGTATGTTAAATTAAACAGTAATTATATAAAGAGTATCAGCGTGAGCTGTCTGGGTTTAAATTGGCCAGCATGCGAGACAAAAGAAAATCTTCCCAAATTACAGGAACAGCAATTACTCATGGCAATTTATTGAAATGCATGTCATTAATTGAATTAGGTGACAGAAATCTCACAGGGCCAGGAGATTTTGTGTTTGATGCCATCTCTGACTGATATTAAGAATGTCGTTTATTTCTCTCGAGAGTCTTAATGACACATTTCTCAACAAGACATGAAACTTGTTTTGTTTGAAGGAGTGTTGCCAGGGATACAACACTTGAGAAATGAGAGAAAAATGAATGTGTCAAATTTTCGCTTTTGCTTCTGCTGATCAAAAGCAATTAGGTCTCATGAATATGAACAATCATTTTAAATATCTGCTTCCTACTTCAAAGCATTCACTTCAAAGCCTAGAAAAAACAATGACCTTTTGAATAGAAGGATAAAGAACAGTTCCTTGCAGTGATGACAAGTTAGAATTACGATTGGTCAATAATTGACCAATTAGAGCCGTGAAGGTGTTAAACCATCCTGGGGAAGTGGAGCAAGTGAGGAAGCAAAGATGGTGGCATTTGAGGTCATAGTGAGCATCCAAATTGCTTTACACCGAGGAAAATCCCCATACAATGGATCTGAAATGGGCAGGATTTGTCGGAGGAAATTTTGTCTGGTCTCACATCAGAATCAAAAGTCAGATGAATACTCTTGTTTTCTTCAGAATGTGTTTCTAGGCCTCAAAATATTTTCATTTTGAATAATGAATAGCAAAAATATACATCTGTAGACATGCCAAAAGATTAGAATATTGAACACAGAACCCAAGTGCTTCAACAGACACCAAGGATCAGGTGATCATCTGAAAGTCAAGGTCATTGGTGACACTGGTTTCACAAATTCACCCTTAAGGTTAATGGTGCAGGGATTATGTGCAATCTTCCTCCTCGGGGTTGTCCTAAGAGGTTTGTGGATTTCCTTCCACTTCCTTCATGTCATTTGGTCTCAGTTGAGCTAGAAACTAGATTTAACAGCATCGAGATTCCCATTATGTGCCTCAGGGAAGGACATGTGCAGGGAACCCAGAGACCAGTCAGGGTGTTTATGAGGCTGAAGGAAACCCCTTATACGCTTCACTTTCTTCTCTTGTTGGAATAGGAGAAAAATTGGCATAAATTAATCCAGGAATCTGAAAAAGCACATCCCAAATATACAGACACTGATTCTTCGGACATGTACAATAGCAGCATTGTATGGATATCCTAGGTTAAACCTTATATTAATTAAGTCTCAAGATCAGAGATTCTGCAATTACATCGCATGGTGGAATTAATCAGTGAGATAACTGAAACCGTGAAAGGGGCAGATTAGAACAGTGTTTTCAAACTTTAAATAAACAAATGGTGCACAAAAGACACATGAGGAATGCTGCATGGTCTGATGAAGAACACAATATGAATACAATTATTGGCCAGGGATCTGGGCCGAGCTACCTGCCTGGTCAGTGATGAAATATTGATATTCTATGGGGAGCCCGTGTCAGTGTATAGGTGTGACTCATATCACTTCAGGGCAGGGAATAAAAAGTGCAACATTGTCCAACACCTTATTTACATGTATGATTCACAAGGAGAACGGGCTTCAGGCGATAGTTACACAAGTGTATTTCCTTCAAGCTCCCTGTGTCGTATTACCTTATCAGTGTTTATAGGAAGTGTTCACACCGCTTCATAATGTAGAAGTCCCTACGTGTAATATCTTATACATCTCCAACACCAAGTCTCTGTTGCTGTTTATTGTTCATCAAACACAAGATTATTGCAATCGTTTTTTAATATATACTACTCAGTGTTTTTAAGGATTAAAATAGTCAACTTCAGACAAAGGTGTGATCCTTAGTGAGTGAATGAGTTTAGTTTTATGCTGCTTTTAGCAATATTCCAGCAATATCACGGTGGGGGACATCAGGAATGGGCTTCACACATTGTACCCATGTGGGGAATTGAACCCGTGTCTTCAGTGTGACGAGCGAAAGCTTTTACCACTAGGCTACCCCACCAACCCATGTGATCCTTAGGAAATGTTGAGTGGCATAGCATAATCACCAATTTATAAATTTCACTAAGCAGAATCAGCAAAAATTGACAGTGTTTTGGACAAATTCTGATTTAGTTGAAATTGTATTTTATGTCATAGAAATCCATGTATAGACAGTACATGTGTTGCAACCCTCTGGAGCATCTCTTTTCTTCCATTAATGCTGGTGTTTTTCGTATATCCAAACCTCCAGTTTAACATAGTTTGGATTCCCTCACCAACAGCTGACACAAAACAGAAGGATCGGCTGGTTAGGGCAT